AGAAAGAAAGAAAGAAAGAAAGAAAGAAAGAAAGAAAGAAAGAAAGAGAGGAAGGAAGGAAGGAAGGAAGAAAGAAAGAAAAAGGGAGGGAGGGAGAAAGGCAGGAAGGAGGGAAGGAAGAGAAAAAAGAAAACATTGTAATAAATTTCCATGAATTAATCTACTAGTTTCAATCATTATCACTACAAGCCAGTCTTGCCTATTCTGCTTTCTACTGGACTATTCTGACTTAAGTGCCATACATATTTTTGTTCATTATAAGATTTCATTATTCACACAATAATATACATCCCAAAAAGGCCTATGGTGACAGCAATATAGTGTGTGTGATGGTTAATCTTAGTTGTCAATTTGACCACATCTGGAACCAACTAAAACCCAACGAAGGTGGTAAACCTGTGAGGGATTTTCTTGATTGGATCATTTGAGGTGGGAAGACTCTCTAAATCTGGGTCACTTGAGTCAGAGACTCACCCCAAATCTGATCGACACCTTTTGATAGCAGCCCACATAAAAGGACATGGATGAGGGAAGCTTTTGCTGTTTGCATGCTTGCCCTCACTCTCAAGTTCATCTCTCCTGTTCCTGAGCCATTTCTTCGTTGGCATTAAAATCTACTTCTTCAAGATTCCAACGTGAACTGAAGACTGGAAGCTCACTAGTGCCTTCCGGGCACTCCAACACCAGTTTGGGGCTACTAAGACATGCAGTCTCATGAACCAAACAAATACCAGATTGGCCTTTCTATCAAGTGCCATCGATTGTTGGACTACTCAGACCACAGCCTGAAATCCACGCTGATAATCACACATTCATTCTATCAGTTTCGTAACTCTAGAGAACCTTGGCAATACTCAGTATTATCCCTAAAGAAAATGGAATGACATCAATATTAATTGAGGAGCCAACCTCTTTTTTCAGGTATCTAGTTCGCTCCATCGTGTATTTTTACAGTTGGCTTATACAACTGGAATAAAAGTAGTTTAAACGTCTCATTTGGCCAAGTCTCTTAAACCCCTAACCTGCGCATAGAGCCTGTCTCCATGCCGTTTAATTGTTGAATGAAGAAAGTGAATCCTTTGCCCTGAATTATTTCTCACGGTTTAGATTTGTTGATCATATACCTGTGATGCCATCTACCATGTTCTGCCCCCAGGATTTCCTGTAGAGGTGTTGCTAAGATCTAGTGGTTGGACTGAGTTGACATTTTGTTGTTTGGGGAAGATATTTCAGCAAGCATGGCAACGCAGCGCGTAAACATTCTTGTTTCCTGAACGTGGAACCTCAAACCAAGAAAACAGTGCTGATGAATGGAGGAGGGCTGGAACTTGAGTCTTCTGACTCTTGCCCTTCTGTTCCATGGCTGGATTTGAGCCTAGATTCTAGAACCTTCTCCTCAGGTTGGAAGAATGACTTAGTTGCTCAGTCTTTACCCTCAGTCAGAGAGAAGCCCAAGATGGGGAGCCGGTATAGGGGACCAATCCAACCTTTCTAGAACATGTGGCATTATTTAAACAGATGCTGAGAAAAGAGGTTCCCCAAGCCGTGGTGGGGAGAGGGGGCTCTGCACCTCTACTTTGCCAAGAGTCTGGAAGTCTTGAGACAGAACTCTGGTGTGAACGACAGTTTTTATTTTCTGTCTCTCCTCTTTTAGACTGGAACCGATTTACCTGAGGAACAAACACTTCGTGTCTTAGACTTACTCATTTTAGTTGAGGGGAAACAAATGTGTGCTCATGTGTGTTATTGGATGGACACCTAAGGTGATGTGCAGAATTCTCCTTGTGGGAGGATAGAAGAAAGGATTTCTCTATCCTCAACTCCTCATCCCACTCCAATGAGTATTTTCCCCCAATTCCCGCTATACTGAGCATGTGGCTCCAGATCCCAAACCATAGGCTAGAAAGACAGATCCCATTCCCAAGCAGAAGACCCTCATACTGGATCTCAAAGTGTGGGGCAGGGGTAAAGATGTCTCAAATACCTAAAACCCATGAGAACTAACATTTGTAGAATACATAAAAGACATCACACAATTCATATGAAGTATTCCTGGTTTACACTGACAGCAGTTCTGCAGGGTGAAACAGACCTGCTTCTGAAACCGTAATTTGCAGATGAAGAGGACCAGTTTGTATTAAAGAAGGTGTATTCAAATGAAGGTCTTTTTTTTCATCTAGAGACAATAGTATTGCCGGGTGTACTATGTGGTCAACTAAATTAAGGCATCTGAGTGGTTACAAGTAATGAATTAACAGGAAGGAAAAAAAAAAAGATGTTACAGAGTTTGGGAGTGGCCCCCAGGAACACACACCGGGAGCCCCAGTGTTCTGATACCTGGCATCTTTCATTTTAAGACAGAACTTGGAAATTCATTACGCAGGTGTAACAGATGTAAGGATGAAAATTTCTGACAGGAATTGACCCTGGAGAAGCAATGGTTAAGCATTCTCCAACTTTCTGTCAAGTCAAGGACAGAAAGCTCCTCCAAAGACTGTCAAAATCCTGGGTGGCACACACGTGCTCTAACCTGGATACTAACACCATACATGTTCAGGATAGACTAATTGCAAGAAAAGGCTCCTTATAGGAAACTCCTCTGGCAAACAAGAAAGCCATACATGATCCCAAAGCTTACTTAGTGGAGCAAGGGGCCAGATTTCAGTCCCCCTGATGCCCTTGCAGCCAGGAGCAAAAGGGTAACAGTCCTATGGTAGGTAGGTTAAGCTTGCTTCACAAAACATGCTTGACACCCGCTAAGCCCACGTCCTTCCTGCTGAAACACTGTCATCTTTTGGTGGTTGTGTCATGTGACTGTGGTCTCATTTCAGCTCCCAAGAAGTCAGAACACGATTACTATGTTAAGCAACTTGCTGGCTTGTTTTTGAATTAAAAAAAAAATGTTTTCCCCACATTCAAGGCCATAGCAGCTAAATTCCCCCGATCTCACTAGTTTGACTTACAGGGTCAGGATGCCATTACTCTTCCTAAGTAGCCTAGTACCACAGTATTTATAACACTCTTTTTAAGCAAGTTACCCAGCTTCCCTGGACTTTGTCATTGGATTTTGTTTGTTTTCGAGACAGGGTCTCTAGCCCATGCTGGCCTCAAATTTATGATATACTAGAGGATGATCTTGAACCCCTGACCCTCCTGCTTCTACCTCCTGAGTGTTTCGATTACACTTGTGACTCTAGTACAAGACCAAACCCAGGGATTGGTCTCAGGACTTGGTGTATCAAGCACTCTGCCAACAGATGTATACATCCAGTCCCATCAACTGGACTTTACAAATAATAATAATAATCGATATTTTACATTTAAGTTTCTCTGTAAGATTTTTAGTGAAAAGCAGAGACAGGAAATTTAATCTATACATGGGGAAGATAAATAAGTGAAGGAGTCGAGTGACCCCAGATTCTATTTTGGGGCACTGACATGAAAACTACATTTTAACTGAGGAAAAATTGTTGAGGAGAGCAAGAGGTTAGCATTACTAAGCAGTCTTGGTCAAAGTGTGGTCCTGTCCATCTTTGTCACTGCTCTAGTCCCAAAAGGTCATAAAAATTGCTAATCTGGCATTGACTTGAGGAGACCAATCTGGTTCCTGCAGGACGGTCTGTTCTAGGGAGTAGCCTTGGGGATGATCTGTCCTGCTGGCTCACCATTTTTTGAAGATGGTTTTAGTCCCTTGTCACTGAGATAATTTATCAACCAGTTCTGTTGCTCCTGGAATGTAAGGTGACTCAAGAGGAGAGGTTCAGGACAGGGATTCATCTCCATGCCTTCAGCCTTGACATGGAATGAAGTTGGTTAGGTAGACAGATACTCCTTGAGAGATTAAAATGCCTTCAGAGTCCAGTAAGAGTTAGAGCCAATGTCAAAGAGACAGATGAAGGTAAAACGAAGGCAGCACTCCCAACTCCTTCCAGATTTTAGTTACCTTAGAGGCCTGATGAATGGAGGAGCCAGTGCTCTTCAGCGAGAGGAAATTCTTGGTGCCTGTTACAGCTTCCCTCTTGGGTTTGAATATTCTCACGTCTGAAGGAATTAAGAGCATTCTGGCTTAGTGATGACCTAGTACACAAAAGGAGCCCAAGCTGAGGTGGTGGAAGCAAAAGGAGACATGATTAAGTCTGAACGTAGAAGCACCACTGTCAAGAGGATACAGGAGAGTGATAGAGGCAGAAGACGTCATTTGGGGGAAAAAAAATCCCAGTAGGAGCCTTCTTTCTTTTTAAATAGCTCTGTGAATACGGACTACTAAGAATGAATTCTAATGGGAGGGACTTAATGTCATAATATCACTTTGGCATTGCCTGTAAGCTTTGATTTATTCTGGAAAGAGGACACTCCAATTTGTTACTGGCTTTGAAACCAGCTTTCTATGTATGCAATCTAGGCTGGCCTCGAACTCATGGTTCT